CTACATCATGCTTTGAGGAATGTGTTTTTTTACCTCCTCCCCTTCCCTTTCTGAGGGTAAAGCAGCACTTATTTATCTTCCAAGGCTCAGCTTCCATGTCACTTCCTTTATGAAGCCCCTATTGACACATCTGCCATGAGGTAAACTTGATCACTCCCCTTTTTTGTAGCTCTACTGTGCCTTGAAAGCTTCCACCTTAGTAACCACAATTTTTATTGCACTAATATATTTATCCAGGCTAATCAGGTCACTGTATGGTTGATGGCACAGGGAAACAAATTCCTAAGTGCCTACCATGTGCTATATGGGGGCACACAAAGCAGCATCGTTGTTCACACCTGGAATATTATTTGTTCACATGCCACCCACTGAAACTCTACCCATTTCCTTTAGTTTGCCTCAAATGCCATCTTTTCCAAGAAACTTTTCTGAATCATTCACATTAGTATGAAAATCCCATCTTCCTTAAATGTAGTGGTACCTGCATTTCTATTTAACATATTTCTTGCATTATCATTATTTACTTGTATTATAGTTATAATTATTTACTTGTATTATAGTTATAATAATTAAAATTATTTACTCCTCCTCCCGCAGAGAACTGTGAATTTCTTGAGAGCAGAAGCAGTATTTTACTCTTTATTTTTTTCGGTTGTCACGCAGTGCCTAGTGCCTTGTTCTTTGGGAGTTCATTGTTTAGAGGAGAAGGTCATAAAATACATATTTAAAATATAATCTTAATTTCAGGTTTAGAGATCTATACAGGGCATCATGAAAGCACTAAGAAGAGGTAACTTTAACCTCTGTGGCTTAAACACATAAGGGGTTTTGTTTGGCAGAAGGTGCCCTAGAGCTTTTGGTGACTTAGGAGTCACCAATGTCATTATCTTAAACATTCCTATATCAGCATAAGTCATTTTGGTGCTGAATTGATGTAGGGCCTCAGGCATAACTGGCATGGTCTGAGAGAGGGGAAGAGAGCTGTGGTCCATGTTTCTTAGAGAAGATGGGGATTTTCTATGGATAAGGGCTTTCTCATTCTGCCATGAAGTTGTCAGGGCCCTAGGGCATCTAAGAAATTTGCGAGGTGAAGATAAGGGCACCCTCGGTACTAGACTGTTTGGTTTCTTTGCAGGCCAGAGAGGTCCTTTTTTTTTTCTTTGAAGAAAAAGATAAAGGCAAACACAGCATTTGAGCAAATAAAAATTACCCTTGAACTTACCTTTACCTGATGGGCTACTATGTCTGCTTTTGATAATGCCTAAATCTTTCTTCTAGGAAATGGCGCATGCCACCTCTACTCATATTTAATTGGTCAGAGAAGTCACATGGTCAAGCAGTGAAAGGGAAGCAAATGATAGAGACAATGATGTCATCTCCAATGACTACATGGAGCCCTAGTCGTTTGTTTCTGAATATAAAAGACCAAGAAGAGGTCAAACAAAAAGGAGGCTTGTAAATGTAACTTTAAGCAGATGAAATAAAAGATGAATCCGTTGAAAAATGTAATTTAAAAGGAAGAATTAAATTTCTTATCAACAAAGTTTGAAACCTTCAGAAATCAAAATATATATAATGAAGAAAATTTTGCTGTCTTTTGTGACAGAAGAAAAACTAGACATAAGGAATTAAACAACCATAGGAAAAAGTGCCTTACTTGAGACGTAAGCCTAGAGAAGTCATATTTTTAGTGTACTCGAATTGGTTTTGGCAGTCACAGATGGTATTTAAGGAAACAAATAGATCCGCAATGAGCACTTGCATGATTCAGCATCATTATTCACACCTGGAATGTTATTTGCTCACATACTGCCCACCCAAACTCTACCCATTTCCTCTAGTTTGCCCCAAATGCCATCTTGTCCAAGAAACTTTTCTAAATCATTCCCATTAGTATGAAAATTCCATCTTCCTTAGATGTAGTGGTACCTCCATTTCTATTTAACACATTAATATTGCATATTGCCTTGTATTATAGTTATTTACTCCTCTCCTCCCCCCAGAGAACCATGAGTTCCTTGAGAGCAGAGGAAGTCTTTCATTTTTATTTTTGGTTCTCCCACAGTGCCTAGTGCAGAACAGGGCACATGAAGGAACCCAATTCATTGCAGTTGAAGTTTATGAATTACAGTTTGTATAGGAGCCACATGACAAGCGTAAGTTAGTTGTACCCTTGAGGTGATCCCAGAGCATAAGGTGCACATGAGAGGAGGTCATATTTATGACTCTAGGGCCTAGACTCACCGATACAATAAGAAAGCTTTGGTACGGTAGACAAGCAGTGAGGAAAGATAGGAGAGGGCTGTCTAGGTTCCGGACTCTGGGATGCGACCTTAGTACTTCGGTTCCTCTGACATCTAGATTAGTTTGTCCTTTGTAGATATTTCCATTTATATTCTCTTAGTATCAAATGGTAGTTAGTTATATAGGTCTTAGTTTTAATAAATTGTTCTACTAATACGGTTTGGCCTTAGTTATGCAAGCACTAAAAGTGAGCAATATAAAGTTAATTTAAGGGATCAAATATAATATTAGGCTGAAAGCCTATTAAAAATCATACAGGACTATATGGAGGACTTACATTCATAATACAGAGTATGAATATTTTTAGATTCTCTGATATTGGATTTAGACTTGCTTGTTCTATTTTGTAAAACAAAGAATTGGCCTATATCTTTGATCTGTGTGTCTAGATTTTTTTTTAGTGACAGACACCTTTTAATAACTAGAAATAGAAATTCCATCTTTGGTGGTAATATAGTGCAGGGACCTGAGAGGAGAAGGTCTTAAGGTGCTGTTAATTAGCAAAAATCTGAACCTCATAGTCTCAAAGCAATTAAGGCTATTAATTGAATATTTGGATGCTCAGAGGATTGGCTCATATGTGGCTGTACAGGGAACCCTAGGCTTGCATACAGGAGTTACATTCTACAAATAATCTTGAACAATTCAGAAAGAGCAAATATAGGCCAGTGTATGTTTGTCTAGTAGTCAACTGCATATTTGAATAGTAATACATTGCTGGTTATATGCAAAATTGTCTTTTTACTGTAAAGTAAACACTAACAATTCAATCGTTCAGCCTATCTTTTGTAAATATGGCACACTATTGATTCACGGAAAATTCAGTTTTTACCATGGTGATTGTACCATCCTCTGGTTTGATAAACATCTCTATGATTCACCTGAAACTTTAAACACAGTTGGTGGTCACACAATGGCTACAGTGTCACACTTAGGCACATTTGGGGGACAGAGGAGAAAGGCCATTGCTGATGAGCTCAGAGTGGCAGTGCTTTTATTATCCAAGTTCTTCATAGCCTTTGTATGGGCTTCCTTAGCTGTGGCATTTGATTAATATGTGAACGTACTTCTAAAAAGAAACTTAAAACAAATAGAAGATTACAAAAAAGTTTTCAAGAAAGGAAAAATAAATGTTCCTTTTAGGAGACCTGCAGTGAAAAGTAGTTAATATTTTCGGTAGTGCTTATTATTTTTAATAGCTCTGACTTTGGGGTAGGTTTCTGCTTCTGCCAGACCCAGGCTTGCAAAGATGCAAACGAGTGTCCACTAAAGAACACCCAGAATGCAGTGAGTCAAGAATGAATTTAGTTTCTCACACTGGTTCAGTCCTTTGCACAGTTAAGGAAAAGAGAAATTGTATGAATGCTTAAAATCCACGGGTTATCCTCCAAGCTAATGTTGGCCAGTAGCTTTCCATCTATTTGGTTAAACCTTCCAGAAAGTGGCAGAATTGAGTGAGTTGAGGGTTCCCCGAACTTCTTTCCATCTCAGTGTACTTTATGTAGCAGTCTGTAATAGCTTTTTTTTTTTTTTTTTTTTTTTTTAAGGCTATGAGGTGTCTTTTTAAAAAGTGGAGGTGCTTAGCAGGCAGTAAAGGATATGAGCACAGAACCTAAACATTGCCAAACAGATCATTTCCATCCTTATTTGAGGAATTATGCATTCATAAGGTTGGTGTGATTTAGGAACAGGCCATTCAAACTGCAAATAGTCATCTTCATGAATGACCAGAGCATATAAAAAACAAATTGTACTTAAGGTCCTAACCCGAGTTTATTGTGCACATATATCTTCTAAAAATGTGGAGTTAACTTACTTAGGGGTTACTGACCAGGGCTTCCAAAAGGCGCAGGAACAGAGGGCTGAAGTCACTAGACTGGGAAGCACGTTTAAGAGTAACAACGCCACCTCTTTGGATCAGAAGAGTTCCTGTTTGTTATGCAATGTGTGCACTTCATTATTTACACAATTTCACTAGGTGACTGGGAGCTGTGTACACAGCCAGGTGAGCCTGCAGCAGCGCCCCAGACTCTGACACCGAACACCCTCTGTCTACTGCCTTCTGCTAGCCCTGCCTTTGAAATAATACCTTTTTCTGGAGGGAAAAAAAAAAAAAAAGGAAATCCCTAAATCGTATCTTACTTCTCTAGATTACAACTATTTTCTTTCCTTAAACGTTTTTAGGAATAGAACTTACTTGGAAAAATTTCCATACTCGTTTCCACTATGCTGAACGGACGATTTAAAAAGTAAACACTCAGAAAATACTAAGATTCCGCTGGAGAGCCTCTTTTTATTGTGTTATGGGGTCTTCCAGCCCTCTCCTTTCTCCTACCCATGGCAGCCCATCTCTCTCCTCCAGGACCCCTTCTTTTTGGTATCCTGGAGTACGGATGAAAATAAATAGGTGAGCAGCCTCTGGGCCAGGCCAGGCACACAGGGGTCCTGAGGGCTGACCTTGGGAGACTTGCGGGCTTCTGGAAGGAAGGCGCGGGAGGCAGAGCAGGAGTCTCCGCTGCGAGGAAGCACCAGGGGCGACCCCGGGGGAAGGGCGGACGGGATGCGTCGACATTTCCGTGACTTGGGACTGGTCGCCCAAGGCCCATTCTAACTGTCGGCTCCCTGGCCCCCGCGGCCAAAGAGAGAAGGGGGCGGATCCTCGCGTGCCAGACACGCCCTGGCCGGGTATAAAATTCGCCAGGCGCTCGCTCCCCAGGCCACCGCGGCTCCCTTGTTGCACTAGGGCCTCCGGACGCGCTCCCCGCGCAGGTCTCTGGAACACTCGGGCCGAACGTAAGCCCGCTTGCACTCACACTGCAGTTCACACCCGCAGGCGCGCTCGCACCCACATTGCCGCTCACGCGCGCTCACACTCCCCCACGCGCGCTCCACTCCCGCTCCAGCCCCGAGCCCCGCGAAGGCGCAGGCACTGCCGCCGAGAGCGCCAAGGGGCCCCGCGGCCTTCCCATGGCAGACCTAAGCTTCATCGAAGATACGGTCGCCTTCCCCGAGAAGGAAGAGGATGAGGAGGAAGAGGAGGAGGGTGTGGAGTGGGGCTACGAGGAAGGTAAGCGGCTACGAGTCGGGGTGTCCGGGGTCCCGCGGCGGCGTCAGTGTCTCGCCGAGCGCGGGACTCGAGTCCTGCTGCTGCCGCGCGCTCCGAGCACCTCCACGTCCCCTCTTTCCCACGGGGGTCTCCGCCACTTTCCCACTCCCCTGGCGCGTTTCGGGCGGGAGGCGTTCCAGGGAGGCGTGCTCGCCGCCTGCGTTCTCCCGCCGCCTTCGCTGTGGCCCGGGAGCCTTCCGCAGGGCTGGCGTTCGCACCTGCTGCGGTTCGGAGGGCGGGCTAGCCTCCAAGCAATGGCTGTACCTTTTATGTCTTCTGAGTAGTCAAGAAGAGCAGCGGTACATTTTACTTAACACCTGAGGAAGACAGTGCTAGTGTTAAGAATTCTTTTTTGACTTGAAGACTTTGGGGAGAAAGTGTTTCTGCCTCTGGTCTTTTCGTGAAGCCTGCTAGCAACGCTCGTCTTTCTAAAGTATGTCCTAAATTTCAGACTGAATCGTTGGGTTTGGCGAGAAGCGGTTGACTCTCTGAAAAACCAGAGTTTCCTAGATTTATTAAAGACCTAGGGCTCCTATTAGAGCCAACCAGTAGTGCTGATGTTTACTACATATGTTGAAACCAATATAGAATATATAATTTTAATTATAAAAAATTTGGAAAGAGTATGGGAATATATATGTACATAGATATATACATATGCACACTTTAAAATACTGCACTTGCATTTCTGATAAGGGGCGTCTATTTACTAGCATGAGAGTTAGGGTTTTTGACTGTCACAATGTATGTTTAAAGTTACAGCTATTTCCCAAATACTGAATGTAATTTTGAACTAATAAGCAGAAGAAATTGTTCTGGTATTCTTTTTTTCTAATCACTTAAAGATGACCCACATTTCCTAGAGTCATAAATTATTATGTCTTTGTTGACAAATACAAATAGAATATTTTGTTAGTCCGGGAATTTGTATATGGTATTTGATAATATCAGATCATTCAAATAATGAATGCAAAAACACATAGAATTACCATATTTCATCTGTATAGTGATGGTATCATTACTGTCTTCATAATATCAAGGATTCTAAGTGTTTGGTTTTTACATGTTAAATTTTACTGTAACTTATTTTTTAACCTGTTTTTAATGTATTTCATTTTGTTCTTAGGTGTTGAGTGGGGTCTGGTGTTTCCTGATGCTAATGGGGAATACCAGTCTCCTATTAACCTAAACTCAAGAGAGGCTAGGTATGACCCCTCACTGCTGGATGTCCGCCTCTCCCCAAATTATGTGGTCTGCCGAGACTGTGAAGTCACCAATGATGGACATACCATTCAGGTTATCCTGAAGTCAAAATCAGGTATTTTAGAAAATATGTTTGTGTGGTCTTTTAAACTAGAAGTCAGCATGGAGTTACCGAACTGTGATTTAACTTGCACAATTTAAAAAGTACAACTGACGTATCTCTATGTTCAGGATACCTTTATATTATAATATAAAGCATTTTTGGGAATTACCTTCTGAAAGAATTTTGAAAGGATAAAAGGGTGAAATTATGATGATTATCAGTCGGTTGTTCTGCTTCTTACGATGTTACTGGAACAACATTGGTTTGATCACCTTATACCTTGTGAAATATGAGGACAGGTACATGCAGGTGCACTGATCTGCATTTTGTCCGACATTGTTGGTTAGCTTAAATCGCTTAGATAATCATAATTCTGTTTTGCTACTTTGTGAAACCAAAAATTAGGATTTATTGACATAATGTGGCGTTCAAGGTAGACTTCTCAGGTTAATTTTCTCTACTGTATTAATTTGCTGAAAATAATTTTAACTAATAACAGTAAAAAAAAAAGCCTTTAAACTCAGTCAGAGATTTAAGTGGTAAACAAACCTCTTGCTTTTATTTATTTATTTAAGTTCCATCCCATGAAACCTCCCCTACCCCTTGCAAACCTATTTGAGATGGATCTGAAATGTTCTGTGGAAAAGGTGTTAGGCAATTACCAAGGAAATCAGTTTTTGGCTTTATTGTAGGAAAGAGGAAATCAGATTTTTTAAAAATGTAGCATTAATAGCATGCATTTCATAGTGAATAATAACTATCTTTTTCTTTTGGGAAAAATTAAAGTATGTTGAAATATTAGGATGTACTTGATAAATAGAGACTGTGCTCAAACATTAATTCCAAGTCAATAAAGTTGATGCCTCAAACCATAAAATCTTTAGGTTTATTATTAATCAAGGCAGCTGTTGATTTCCAACTATGGATTTATTTTATTCATTGTAAATGTTTCTAAGCTTTAATTTAGAATCCATGACATAGTCATAGATTCATGTCGTCTCCCTTGCTGTTGTGAGTTTAGTCAGCATGTGAGCATTGCCCAAAAGAGTTTCTGGGCTTTATATGTACTTAGAGTCAGTTTAAGATGTAAATTTCAACTTGAATTGCAATTTTTTTGTGGGTGTGCTTTTAGCTTTGATGGGACATTACGTAGTTTTTTGAAAGGATATTGTAAAATTATTGAATGCTGGCTGTTCTGGCATATAAAAAGCAATTTAAAGAAGTACATATGTGTGGATATGTTGAGATGCTTTGAACTTCTGGAAATGAATGTTTATGTATCTACAAAACAAAAATACATTTCATGTCAGGTGCCATGATGAATATTGGTTGCATATAAATGGATAAGACAGTTCTTGAGGATTCGCAGCGTAGTGAAAACCCAGTTCTTTAAAGTGTTAGTGTACACATGATGTAGCAAGTGTTACAAAGGGTTGTGGGAGCAGAGAGGAATGACTAAACACATATACCCCACTGCATCTGTATGTGACTAGTCTTGCTCTGAGATCAAATTCACTTCAGCAAGTTGAATTTACCATTTTCTTCTGCTACCTTCTCAAACACTCACAATTTTCTTTAATCTTCTGCCTCACTCTAAAACGGAGACTGTGGACCAACATCTGGGCCCTCTCACCATGAAGTGTGTTTCTTCCTCACTTAGCATTTTGTGCTTTTCTCTTCCTCCTTTCACCCCTGCCCGCTGAAGAAGAACTGTCTGCATTTCTGTCTAGGCCTTATTTGGACACTCATGATCCAGAGCCCATTTTCCTGCCTCCCTGGAGACCTTCCTACCTCAGATTCCCATTCTCCTCTCTGTCATGATAATAATTTCCTCCTTATTGTTCCTTCCCTTCCAATATTTCTGCAAACTCAAGAAAAGTAACCAAAATACCATGTCTTGAGTAGTTGTTTTTTCCCCTAGGATATTTAAGCTCCTCAGAGGAATCGTTTGTAAGCTCTAAATACCCTGTCATTCACTTATTTAAATAATATTTTATCTTTATTGAGATAGAATATAAACAAAATAGTTGAATAGGCCGGGTGTGATGGCTCACACCTGTAATCCCAGCACTTTAGGAGGCTTAGGTGGGCAGATCACTGGAGGTCAGGAGTTCGACACCACCCTGACCAACATGGTGAAACCCCACCTCTACTAAAAATACAAAAAAGAATAAAAAAATAAAAAATAATTTAAAAAGGCTGCTTGTGGGGCTGAGGCAGGAGAATCACTTGAACCTGGAAGGCAGAGGTTGCAGTGAGCCGAGATTGCGCCACTGCACTCCAGCCTGGGTGACAAAAGCAAAACTGTGTCTCAAAAAAAAAAAAAAAGTTGAATAATACTCTTTCTGCCTGTGGTTATACCCTGCTCTTCCCCACCTATGGTTGCTGTTCCCTAGTGACAACTACTTTGAAACTTTCTAGCTGTTTCTTTTGTGGTTACCTCCAAGAATGTAAGAATATAATAATGCTGTTATGCTTTGATATGTAAGCTATATGTGAACTCTCTACTATGGAAGATGAGGCCAATTTTCCTTCTTTCTTTCTTTCTTTTTTCTTTTTTTTTGAGACAGAGTCTCGCTCTCTCACCCAGGCTGGAGTGCAACTGTGCAATCTTGACTCACTGCAATCTCTGCCTCCTGGGTTCAATTGATTCTCTTGCCTCAGCCTCCTAAGTAGCTGGGATTACAGGCACCTGCCACGACACCCAGCTAATTTTTTTTTGTATTTTTAGTAGAGATGGGGTTTCACCATGTTGGTCAGGGTAGTCTCGAACTCCTGACCTCAGGTGATCCGCCCACCTTGGCCTCCCAAAGTGCTGGGATTACAGGTGTGAGCCACAGCGCCTGGACGAGGCCAGTTTTCTTATTGCCCTCTTTCTTATGATTTCACTCTCTTATCACAGTGTACTTAAATTAATTTAAAAAATCTGTTTAGATTTAAGGGGTACAAGTATAGTTTTGTTTCTTGGATATATTGCTTAGTGGTGGAGTCTGGGCTTTTAGTGTAACTGTCACCCAAATAGTGTACAGTAATTTCTCATGCCTCATTCCCCTGGAGTCTACTTAAATTCATTTTCATTTAAATTAATACTCAGTATTTTTATTATTACAACTGCAACTATTGTTTCCAGCTGAGATTATATTTTGTCTCACTTATTAAACAATGTTTTGTATTTTCCTGGAGTTAATGCATTTTTGTTAATTGAATTTTTTATCTGTCAGTAATTAATTTCCAAACTCTCAGACATATGACAGATCTTCTCTTAGGACATTCGCCTGCATCAGGTTGTCTTCCCTCCCTTGATCCTCCTCATCCTTTCTTTTTTCCTGTGGAGGTTGCTTTTCCTTTCTGCTCTCCAGGCCTCTCTTACAGCCTTTTCCTGCAGCTCCTTGGACCTCACGCCTGGGAAGTCCCCTCATTTGTCTCCTGTGTTAGATCGGATGTTTCCTGGATGCCGTGGAAGTCCCCTCGTTTGTCTTCTGTATTAGATTGAATGTTTCCGGGATGCGTGCCGTCCTCTTTTTTGAGTTGCTCCCTCATCTCAGGGAATTTCTTGGTTTATTTGCTTCTACAGTTCATGTTCCGGGAACTTCCTGTGAAAAGGGGCAAGTGAGGGCTACATGCTTGGATGCCTAGGTGTCTGTAAGTGTCTTTATTATACTTCACACTTGATTGGAGTTAGCATGGAGTAGCAGTCTGGGTTAGAAGTATTCTTGATGTCGTTTGATGTTTGACATCATGATTACATTGCTTCCAGCTTCCAGCGTTGCGGTTGAAAGATCTAGCGCCATTCTGCTTCTCAACCCCCTCCGTGTGTCTTTTCTCTTTTTTCCTTTCTAGAACCTTTTACAGTGTTTTCTTTACTGCTGTTGTGTTGAAGTGTTACAACCATGTGCCTTGGTGGGATTGTTTCTGCACTATATGCTGGGCACTTGGTAGGATTTTTCAGTCAAGATAATTGTGTCTTTTATTTACCAGAAATTTTCTTGTATTTCTCATATTATTTCATTGATAAATTTTGTATTTTCATTTTTTCCCCTTCTTTCGGTAACTCCGTTCTCTTCTACTTTGTAGTAGATTTCCAAAATTTTTAATCGTTTAGTCTTTTGATTGAACTCTTACTTTCTGCTTTCTTGTTTTTAATTTCAGAACATTGAACTTATGCTGCAATTAAAAACCTTTTTTTTTTAAAAAAATACAACATCCAGTATTTATTTCATGAATTTATGATCTTTCTTCATTCTTTGCTATATTGCTTCTTTTCTATCCCTGCCTGTCTCTGTTTACTCTGGGTTTCTTTTTCTATTTATATTGGTATCCCTCTTTTATTTCGGAGGTTCTCCTCAAATGCCAGTGATCTTTGACTCTTTGTTCATATTTAAGAATGAGTCTAGGAAGCAGATCAGAAGCTCTGTGCACCTGGGCAGGGGTTGAGGGCTGTTGGGCTTCACAGTACCATGATCAAGAAAGGACCTGGCCATGTTGTTGGAGGAGTCTTTGTAGCTTATATCAGTTTAACTGGAATATGCTTGTTTCCTGTTTGTGTTTTTGTTTTGGAGTTAGGAATGGCTTAAGTTGGCCACCAGCTTTCTGGTTGTTGGCACAGACAGGAGACTATCACCATTTAGCAAGTCCACATTTCCTTCATCTTCTGCCAGGGATCTCATCATCATGCCTGACCATGCATGATGAGGTTTAACTGCTCCTTTTAAAAACTTTAAATTGGGTTTTCTGTTTTCAGTTTCCTACTCTGCACTGCCACATTCAGAAGTATCTCTACTGCTCCCACCTCCTGAGTCCTTTCTGATGTCTTAGTCTGTTTGGCTACTATACTAAAATACTGTGGAGTTACGGGTAATTTATAAATAATAGAAATTTATTTCTCCTGGTTCTGGAGACTGAGAAGTCCAAGATCAAGGTGCTGACAGATCTGGTGTCTGGTGAGGGCTCTTCCTCTGCTCTGTACATGGTGCTTCGGTGCTATGTCCTCACATGGTGTGAGGCAGAAGGGT